GAATCTCAAGACTCACTGGGTGCGAGGCTTACTTGCTACCGCCAATAAAGCCAATCCGAAGGCAGTGATCCTTCTTGGCAATTTGCAGACCTTGTTTAGCTAAGCGCAGAAGACCTATGTATGGCAAATAGTAGTTCACCTCCTACCTCCTTCCCTGATTCGTATTTAGGACAAAACGAAGATTGTGAAAGGTTGTCAGAAATGTTTTGATCGGTGGCGATTACCGTGGAAAAGTATAGGCTAGCATGCAAAGTTTATCACTTAGATATGGTAAGCGAGTAAATTGTATGGTTCGAAAGGCTTTCTATCTAGTAACATTATATTTGAAGATAAAAAGAAGCCAAACGTGTAGCGATTCCACAAGTACTAGTTTCGACAAAAGAGTGAATAAATTTGGTTACTTAATCCCTATATTTGCCTGCTGGCGGTAAGCGCATGTTGAAATGTGACGGGATTTTCTCGCCGCATGATCCCTTTTCATCTGTAGCGTCATTATTGTCGTTATGATGGTGTTCAGTTTATTTGGGGGTATATCTTGAGGGAGGGAAAGACAAGCTCTTATTTGGGAAAAACTTGGCTCATCTCGGCTGAAGATTATTGCGAGAGCTGAGATCTTTTAGGGGGACCACTGACGTGTATCGAGCTTTCATTCCACTTCATTTTCCTCAAATAGCGATGCAGGACGAAGAAGCTAAAGCTCTGAAAGTCGGCCTACCCACCATTTCCTAGATATGCCAGCACGGATGTTTCATAATGTTGTCAAAGATCGTTGTTACTAGATAGTTTGGAGCCAAGCTATCGTGCATCACGGTGCTCTACTCGGCGCAGAGGAGTCATGGCATGCTTGCGGTTGGACCGAGCCTCTTAACTGTGGATAGATGCCAGCCATCATCATGATCGTTTGCGTATGAGACCTCGGCCTAAGGTACATGCTCTAAAGAATTTAAAAGATGAAGCCACCAAGTTGACTGCAGACAGTCAGTGTGGCCAATTGCACTTTTTTTTTGCATCAGATTTTAAATGCGTATGCAGCTATCTAGCTATGACACAATATCAAAGAAAAGTACAGAAAAAATGGCTCTATTTACAAGATGAGCGCTCATGCCTCGGATTTCATTTGCAGGTACCACTGCGAAGTTATGGTGGCTTTTTCTTCACTCCAAGTCAACCCTCATCTGTGAATACCCACCCAGGGGAACGTCTCAAAAACCCTAAGTTATCTAGACATGCCTCTATCACCTTTCAACTTTTCTCCGCGCGAAATGTGGTCTGAGGTATCTCTTTCCCGGCCAACTGCTCTGTATCAGTGCGGAAGTTGATTGGAAAACTTGTTACCTTATGGTATGAACTATCAGACTCTCTGTCGTAGGCGAGCTGCCCACTGACAAACACTTATGAACCCACTTTTATCCAAGGCCACACCAAGAAAAGCGCGGAAGAACTCTGTTGATCAGCGGGACGTTTACAATTGGCGGGCTGGCCCGAGATCTGCGGATCCCCCTAGACGATGAAGGCCGATATATACTCCCTTCCGTCGAGCCATGAGCGAGTCAGTTCACGCCAAAGGTTTCCGCAAGCACGAGCGTAATCGCTGGCAATGCAAGACATGTTGCCACCACTGCCAGAGAGAGCGAAAATCCCAGCGCCCTCGCCATCGGCAGACACGCGATATAGTAAAGGGTAGAAAGACTCGCACAGAAATTTAAGTCACCTAGCTTCCAAGTGTCAGATCTCACGCAAAGCACAAAACTGGACTCTCATCTAACGGGAAACAATTACCGACTAGGTAGCTACGGACACAATTCCTTTGCGCAACACGACACTGTCCAGCCAAACGCGCGGTTACAGAACCTTCGTGCAAGTAGAGTTTGGATGCGCACATTCGAAAGCCATCCTTTATGACGCGTTGCGTTTCGTCCTGTTCCCCCTGGAACGTCATAATCTCCAACCTTCTCTATTCACTGGGTTCTGTTGCAGAGAGTCACATCGCAAGGAAAAAGACGAACTTCCAATATATAATTATGTATGACGACAAAAATCTGTGGTGACCGTAAATTGGTCTCGGTGGGAGAGTTGGTTGTCCAGAGGCTTTTCTGGCACTACAGTGATACATGGCACTAACAATCGTTTCATCACGGCGCTGAATACGACTCGGCCCAGATATACTACGACCGGTTGTGGCGAGTAGCTATTTGGCCCCACACACTAGTAAGGTAGCCATCTCACTATCATACATTGAACCTCCTAGGAGACTAAAACGTGCTTCTGACGCTCTGTGCTGTACTCACTGTCCGGTTCCAGAATAATTATGACGATACTGGTAGCCTTGAATCTCTCGAGGCAACCGTGCATCACAACTTAATAGACGAAACTATCAAGACTGATTTATATCATTGGCCCATGAGCTTCTAGCCCACACCCCTGTTCAACAGAGGCGTTGTGTTTTTTGAGCTATAGCTAACTATGTGCAGAGAGCTATGGCGTCGGGCAAATCTCAGAGATATATCCTCCATTTTACCGCGTCATAGAACTGGCGGGAAACCTCTATAAACCTCACTATGTGTTTGTCAATTTTCCTCGTCCACGACCGACCAAGGCTTTTTTAACTATTCTCGTCTGCATAATATGTCGAGTCAACCTATCTGAACTCTTTACCTTCATATCTCTTGGGTTACATGTCAAATAGATATGATAGCTGATCAAAGCTCTTGCATCAATAAAATATAAATCGCATCATTTTTAACATAAACAGGGTTACCTGTGCATAAATGTAAAGCGCCTTAGAATAAGTGGAAGCTCCAATAACATCATGACTTGACTTGGGGCAACGGTCGTGTAAAATCGATCCTGGCGTATCTGTAGATGTATGAAGATATCGGTGAAAGTTTTTGGTCAAATTAACAGGAAGAAGTTTAATCTATATGAACTTGTGAATACACTTGCGCAAGTAGCTACTCACTTATCATGCCCTGACCCAGAGTAAATGCATCGATTTGGTCATGATGCTATACATATCAGAAACAAAAATATATAACCCTCCAACAGAGGGACAAAAGAGGCTGTGATGATTACTGTATATTTTTCAACACTTAGTTCAGGCCATCACAGCTTCGGATTGGGTGATGCTATCAAGTCTATGAGAGGCAATAGATCCACATTATTATTCATGCAACTTTGCAGCGAAAAATATCGCAAGGAACCAATTTGAGACTTTGTCTTGTATTACTAAGACCCAACTGGCTAAATACACAAGTTTCCTGCATCTACAAACAAAAAAGACTTAGTCTAGACTTTAGACCACGATGAAAGATTTTTGATAAAAAAACAACTTGAGGGACGAGTTAGTTTGTATAGGCTAAGATAGGGCGAATCTGTGGTAGCAAAGTACCGCTGTTGCAATACAAAGTGCTGAATTTGTGACCGTGCGCAACATGTTTTTGTACAGCCCTTGATGTAATTAGCAAGTGTGAAATCCAGTTTATGCCTGACTCAATATTAAACCAGTATCCTGGTAGGTTTGAGAAAACCAGGGAAAAAAATATGCTGCTCGCTGACTTGGGAGGCCTGCGTACTCAAATATTATTGCCATCTAGCCACCTAATGCTGCACTTAATATCTACCCACAAACGCTAGATTGAGGCCAGATATTTATTTTGTCTGATAACATGGAACATTGCCTAGTAGGCCGGTCCTGAGAATTTCTAGGACTTAAGGATCAGATACTAGTAAAAGATACGTAACCAGAGCAAGTAGCTGATGATTCGGATGATTAACGAAGAGCGGCGAGTGAAAACCACGCTCCCGTATCTTCAGCTGAGATAATGTCAAGAGTGACGATGATGATTTCGGAAAATGAGTCAAAGCTGATTGGCTTAGTCGATCTCTATGGCCAATTCCGAATAGTAACATCCGTACGCTCTAACCCAGGGTGTGTAGCGCAATAGCACAATGGACGAGCAGACCGGATGGAAGCTTGAGTGTAGAATCTTACCAGTTCTAGAAGTGGCAGTTTGTTACGCACGAACTGGGGTGTTACTGCAATTGCGAAGAGGCAACCGAAGCATGACTTGAAGGACTCTGACGACCGAGCAATAGATCAGCCAACTAGGCCTTCTGAAACACTAGCTGATGAGAAAGTAGACCCCGAGTCACAGCCTGGCATAATTAGATAGATCCACTTTTCTAAAACAGAAGCAAGAAGAACAAGCAAAAATAAGGGCAGAGCTACACAGGATGACAGACAGTGTGCAATGGAAACATGCGAGTAAAAAGAAAGATATTGGGAACAATTATGTCAACGGATATACTGCACAAGGGGAGGAGGTCCAAGATTGCCAGGGTATCAACATCTCAACCAAAAGTGGAATACTAAGCGAGCTATGATCGCTGGTCAAGGGTACGTTAAGCAATTAAGATGAGCGGGGACCAATAGAGAGGGGATCATTCACTTATGTCGGCGGGTCAGTGTCTATAAGCGAGCCATTGACTACCAACCTTAGACCATGTGCTAAAGAAGGCACTTCAAAGTGGAATCTGATTATCACTATTGTTTTACATTCAACTGAAAGTTTCCATTTCGTGCACCTCGAGATTGTTCTCTCGTTCCAGCCAAGGCCCAACTACTCACGTCACCTCAGTATGTTAAATCCCTAACACTATGGATTTCAAGTCCCAACTATTAGACGAAACCCATTAGACGAAACTCATTAGACGAAACCGGCATGTTTTCGCAGATCATAAACGCCATATATCCGCTCTCCTTTCTCATCAAGCAATATCATATTAACCTCCATTGACTGCTCGGAATTAAAATTCATACCAAATTAGACACTGTTGATCCAGTCCATAACTCTTACCGCACCAGTAAAGAGATTACATTTCATCAAGCGATCAAGAATCGTCTTATCTACCAAAATATATCAAACGCTACTTGCTTGTAGATCAGGTAACATCATCACATTCAATCATCCGATAAGCTTTGGGGCTCAAGAACTTTCAACATGAGTGTAAGTATTCCTAGAAATTACATCCTCCTGTCCAGTACCTGAATCTGTTCAGGAATCTAGTAGATTTCTCACTAACAATTAATTTATAGTACGGGTTCGTCACCATTAGTCCTTAAATTTTAACATCGATCTATCCTACACATTTCATATTCTACACCTAACTAAAAAATTGGAAATTTACTAATTGAAATTCTAATCTTTTAGATACGGCCCCCGCCTAAACAACCCCAATAATCGATCTGCTGCTCAAGGACAGCAATATGAAGAACCAGGCTACGGTGGATCACCACTACCTCAGTATGGAGGACCAATGATGGGCGGTGATGAGTTTACTGGTCAGCTAATTCGCTTCCTATCCGTATTTGTGCTGACCACATTAAGGGCAAAACGTTGAGATGGCTCCGCTGGCGCAGAATGGATCTCAATTTGCACAACAATCCGATGCTAACTCTATTTTAAATGCATGCGCAGATGTCAATCGTCACTTATCAGAAATAAATGACGTTATTGCCACTCTACAACCTCTACAGAAGCTCAGCCTTGACGCCATCAATGAAATGCAACAAAAAAGAGCTAAAAAACAAATTGATGATATCTCATCTGATATTATGGCTAGGTTTCGCAACGTAACGGGTGAGGTTAAAGCGATCAAGCAACAGCCGGCCGCCTCATACCCCAAGAACGCCCCTCAAGTCGAGCGGCTTAGTAGAGAAATAATTAAAGTACGACGCAACTATGAACTCTCAGACGCCAATTATCGAAAACAATTGGAGGCACAAATCATGAGACAGGTCAAGATTGTTCGTCCAGAGGCCACGGAACAAGAGCTTAGAGCAGCCGTGGAAGACCCCAATAACCAGATATTTTCGCAGGCGCTAATGCAAAGTGATCGTCAAGGGCAAGCACAAAGTACTCGCAACAATGTTCAACAGCGTCATGAAGAAATACAAAAGATTGAGAGCCAAATGATCGAGCTTGCTCAACTTTTTGAAGATATGAATACACTCGTGGTGCAGCAAGAAGAGTCTATAGCAAACATAGACATGAAAGCTGAAGAGGTCGTCGAAAATATTGATAAGGGAACAGAAGAAATCGGTGTCGCGATTGAAAGTGCAAAGAATACCAGAAAATGGAAATGGTGGTGTTTGGGAATAGTTAGTACGTTTGACAAGAATATCTTCCGTTGGATTTTTTACTCGATATTAACCGTGGCTTCTAGTACTCATTATTATTGCCATCGCTGTCGTCATCATAATTTACAAATTCGTCATTTCATCTCCAGCGCCAACAACAACAACAAACTCATCAGAGGCTAGCAAAAACGCGAAACGGTTCCTCTCAGAACAGAATGCTGCCAATTTTCACAGCTCAATTGCTCGAAATCTCAACTTTCCTACAGGACAGGTTGCAGCAAAATTAAAGAGGAATGCCCCGACACTTGTAAAAAGCCGCCTTTTTAGGAACACAAATTAATCTTATACCATATGATTCCAATACACGTTTTTAACATTACTTTCTTTCTAATTCTCGGAGATGAGTCATGATCGAATGATTGTTATATGTATCTGCATCGTGGCATCGCTGGAACCTTAACCAGCGGCTAGTGCAAGATTTTACCGAATTACTCGAATTTTAGATTTCAGTGTCACAAATATAGCGACTAAGCGGGTTTCATGTTGCTCTAGGATTTTCTCGTGTACATTCAGGATGTGCGACTAATGCATTACCAATTTCGGGCCAGGTTTCTCTGGGAGTTTCGCAGGTTCACGGGATAGTGGGTCAAGGAGTTATTTGGAGTTAACTTTATGGGGCAGGTGTCCTTTCATCACTCCATTCACAATTCAAACTAGAAGACTAGAAATTGTACCTTTCTCTTGCTCTCATCTAAACAAGTCCTGCTTTTGGGATTAGACATGAGAGTAAATTTGATATGTTGGCCATAGCCTCCTTAATTTTGAACTATCAAGTACCTTAAAACTTAAACTATTGACTATATGAATGGTGCTCTAATGATATGTGCCTGCATACTCATGTAATATGCAAAATTTGAATTCAGTTATTGATTAGATAATTAAGTAAATAACTTAAACTGAAATTTTGCTTTCAAAAGATTACTCATTGAAATAGAAAACATTAGAGAAAATCTAAGCTCAGATCTAAAGCGTCTTTAGCCAAGAGCTAGATAAAATTGTTGTTTGTGATCTTGAAAAGTCTTTAAGGAAGATACCGTGAAACCCTGCCTCTTCATCTATACGAGGAAGCTTACTTTTTTTTCATATTGTATTCAGCTATAAAGCTATAACAATGAGAAATAGAAAGCTTAATTGTTTCGGTTGAAATAGACCCGATTACAATTTGAGTATCTATTTGGCGGTTATGGTATCACCAAAAACCGTGCTAATCAAAAGATTTTCCAAGCAGTATGTCTATCGGATACTAACAGCTGATGACGGTTGGGAGTCCCGGCAAAGGAACCCGCTAATGGTCGCCACTGCATACCATTCACAGTGGTTTTGTCATCGTACCGTACTCATCGTCACAAGCGATCAACGTGTGGCTCAATGCACCTGTCGGACGATGGTTGCCCACAAACGCACCGCGCGATCATCACGGGAAGGACCAAGACTAGACATCTACTCAAGGTTTCAATTACGAATCTGACAATGTGATAGCCACCAGATCTAAGTCAGTTCAAATTTCGCAGCATTGAAAAAGATCAGCGTACGAGGCAGTGACTCAGGACTTCTTTTATACTGGGAATGGCCCTCACTATCTATGAGGATACAGGTTAAACTAATTCTAGAAAATACTCAAATGTAGCTAGACACTATCATCTAGGTTCTAGAAGTCCTCTACAGTCCAAGAATCAAACAGGACTCCAGAATAAATCTAATCTAATCTACTCTAATCAAGACTTCTCATCACACCAAATTTTTTTCAGATAAGGTCCAGGGAGAGAAAGAGAGAGAGGTGTGTTTATTGTACTACTTAAGTCTTGGACTTTCTAGCACATTGGGCTCTTCTCGGGCCCAGGAAACACCTTGTGCAGTGCTCCTATTCTCTCATGTTTCTTGAAAGATTATTGAAATATTGTCCTTGATGAATATCTATTCAGCCAAGTGTTTACCCGTGGAATCTGGCCACCTTTTCCACGGAACCTTTTACCTAAAAAATAAAATGGTAACAATTGAAATTGCATTCGCGGGAAAAAGTCTCAAAAAACCTGCAGCCCCAGCCAGGCGAGGCCTAGGCACCAGGACCACATGAGTACGCATATTCATCTATATCTACCTTCGTTGTAACATAAGACGCCGACTTGATCCAATCGACCATCCCCGTATCGGGTGTTGAGTACACTCCGACAACTCATCGGATGGCTTTTCGTCCATGATCAAGGGTTCGTGATGGGCAGGGTTTCACCCTACCATCTGGTCTGATCGTGGTGAGCTTCATGATAATGATGATAGAGGGCGTGTGGAGAGATGAAGACAGTACAGACTTTGAGAGCGATTGAGAATTATCGTTTAAGACGAATCTGTTACGCAATCTCGTCTCTGCAGACTCTACAGTGAGAGCCGGAGGTTCGTAAGGGTCACCATTCAAGATGCTGAGTTTCGTCACCCTGAGAATACGTGTATATATACTACCCGGGAATTACCTAAACAGAATAATTAATTCAATCTTTTCCTCCATTGAGCAGCCCTGTTTCCATAGTATATCCCAATGACCCCCGATTGATATCAATATTACTCAAATCGGAATCGCGCCGTAATTCTTGAGCCGCTTACCTCAGCAAACGCCGGCAAAGACGAATTCCCCACCTTCCAGTGGTGCCAATGTAATCGCTGAAAATGCTTTGCGTACTTGGAATAGCTAAGGAGAATCCCAACCGAATGGAAGTCCAAACCAACCTCAGGCAAATTTCTATATGATGACCTCTCAATAATGCCGCTCTTACTATTGCTACGATAGGAGCTACTTGGTTTAGCACCTTCAAATTCTTGAACGATTGACGTATTTCTATTATTCTTCAGCTTTCCAATTCTTCTCTTTCCAGCAATGACTTCCAGATTTAAAAATCGGAGCTACGAATGGTTATTAGATCACGTGACGAGAACTGCCAAACGATTGTGAAATGGCACTTGCCGTTGTTATCTGCCGTAATTTCCACGGTGCTAAACAATCTTCTTCTATATTCGAGAAGACCAGATTCCTGTTGGGAATCTATCTAATCCGCGCTATTTCATTTATTTTGTGTAAGACGTGCGCAGTACAGCGCTCACAATAGCTTCATAACTTTGCTTCGGGCCTTCCGACTCTCTTTAGATTATATGATATTGTAGATTACATCAGTTGCCGGGTCACCTCAGGGACAGGGCTGCAGCCATAACTGTAGTCCTGTGTACCTTGTAAGTAAATATGTAAAATAACCCGTTCTCATCTGAAGGAAATGGCTGATCATCTGTCAGTGGTGTCTTTTACGAACCTGGGAGTGAAATATTACTCCAGAGCTAACATTCGGCCATTCCTAACGATCGAATCCTTAATTCCCGACCGAGAGCCTCATCAGAAGTAGTAGTACCGAGCTGATTTTGGTCGGAGATCCCAGATTGCAGAGATTTCTTAACAACATGAATCACGAAGAAAATTATGAAGACCATTTAAACTAGTTATCGCACTCCACTTCGGTACACCAAACCATTTTCGAGGTCCCTATCCTATGCCGAAAAAAGCCACGACATGACCCGCGACCCTTTCTTCCAACACTAGTGTCGATGGAGAATTATCGGGGGACGCCAAACTTAGGTTACTATGTTTGAATGGTCTATGACGAAATCAAAGGCTGCCGGTGAAGATGGGAGAGATGTTAGGCCGTGGAAGCTTTTGAAGCGATTGAAATAAAGGACTCATGATTAGGAGGGTATCATCAAGAAGGTTGAGGGACTATTTTCAACACCTGTCAGTGGTGTCGTCTACGAACCTCCAGCTCTCACTGTAGAGTCTGCAGAGCCAAGATTGAGTAACAAAGTCCTCACTTCGATGGAGATTCCCAATCGCTTTCGCCGTCTGTATCGTCTTCATCTCTCAACGAATTCCCCTATCGCCATTATCATGAAGCTGACCACGATCAGATCAGATGGTAGGGTCGGAGCCCTACTCGTCACCCACCCTTGATCATGGAGGAAAAGCCATCCGATGAGTTTCCGGAGCGTACCCGGCACCCGATACGAAGATGGTAGATTGGATCAAGTCGGCCTCGACTGTCACAAATAAGGGAGATATAGATGAAATGCTTACCTCATGTGGTCCCGGTGTCTAGGCCACGCCTGGCTGGGGCTGCAGGTTTTTTGAGACTTTTTCCCGCGCATGCAATTTCCGTTGCTACCATTTTTTTTTGTTCGGGTACAAGGTCCCGTGGAAAAGGGCCGGCAAAGACGAATTCATACCTTTCAGTGGTGCCGGTATAATCGCTTAGTATAATCGCTTAGTATGCTCTGCATATCTGGGATAGCCAAGAAGAATCGCATCCGAATCGAAGTCGAAAGCAACCTCAAATACATCTCCATTTGACGATTTCTCAACAATACCTCTCTTATCATTCTCATCTGAGTCTTTAACTTCTTTCTAACCACACATCATCTCGCCTCAACGACCAATAAGGCGGAACCTCAATTGCAAACAGTAGCTTGCCCCATTAATCTTCAGCCATCTTTCACTACATATCTACGACGCTACGTATAACCGCAAGGAGGAAATTAAGTCACAATATATAAAGTTGGGGTCTTGGTTTATGAGGGACTGCTGCTCTAATAGGGTTATACATCTTGAGGAAGGACAGGCAGCTGAGAAGTGAAGCGAGAGGGGAAAGAGGTCTCTGAAGACCGTGTTGGGACTGACATTTTCGAGGAGATTTCAACTTTGGAATTTTTGTGGGCGCCAAGACCGAGATTTCGGCTAATTAGCCAGGAGGGCTTCTTCTGTCGATGAGTCAACGGCACTATGCAGCGCCCTGGACGGTACAAAAGAAGCTAGGCTAAGCTACTATACAGCAATCACGCTCTGTCAAGACTTTTCTCACATTTCGGCACGACCTTCGGGAAGGAGGCTAGAAAGGCAGAGGGTGAATTTCCCGAGGTACCCGCAAGTCTGCAGCGCCCAGCTGGCCGGTCTCTTCGAAAGCTTCGGAAGGATCACTATATCTTTGGATTTAGTTCTAATGTCGGTATTAAAAGAGCCCCGCACCCAGTGGCTTTTGCGATTTTTCCCGGATGCCATACACCCGCAACTGGCCATCGGTGCGTTGGCTGGAGAGGGGAGATAATGAAGGGCTAAGGGATGCTCTAAGTGTATGATCGAATGAGGACTTGTGAGGGGTGGTACTGTTTGAGGGGAGCTGTATGGGAGGCATGGGAGGGGATAAACTACTGGTATAGGTATCCTTGACCTGTAGGCAGAGAGGACCTGCATGTCCTACATAGTCATAGACTCAGACAGGACAATAAAATGAAATAATTTACTTCATCAAATACATCAATATAATATCGTACAGTATATTTTCCAACAACTTTGGAGACATTGCCTTTGGTAGGAAGATGAATGTGGGTGTAGAACTACTGTTGTTCTGTATATAGATGACTACTATCTTACTAAAAGGGAATACTCTTATCTATACAAATAGCTCATCCATCTTCTTGCATGTAGAATATTAAACCGTGTTACATGGGATATTCTACATTCCTCTCCATCTCATTCACATATAACTGTCTTTTATGCCAGTACAATAATCACAACTTGTATGATTAGCTAAGAGAGTTAATATCATAGCCATTTTCACCTTTACATTCTCTCAATATGGCAACAATACCAACATGTACATACTAGAATTGAAAGCTACCCTTTCTATCAGGTTGGAATATCTATCGCTTGAAATCTACTAAATTCCTTCCTCCGGATACGTTCTCTGACAAATTAGCACTTACATCGCTTGTCATCTCTTTTTCTTTCGCTAGGGCCACCCGAGGCACAATTATATAGCCAGCCGTTCCATTCTCTTTCGCCTCTCAAGGCCTCTTTCAGGCTCGTCGCTAAGATCTTTTCTAGGGGCTCTCATGCACAAAGGTCTCTCTCTCCGAATAAAATATTTTGCCACTAACCGTATGTTTGTTGTGTAGGGTTATCGGATAATATGGTTTCACCTGAGTTGATTGATCTTGTCGGTCAGGAGAAGTTTTGCAAATGGAGATACAAAGTGTTTTAGATTTACGGGCCCTCGATTTCGTCTGGGTACCCGATAATACCTTGCTTTTAGTAGAGGGGTTAGGATGAGTTATGTCGTAGCGCTTCAGGTATTTATGTTGTGGCTAAAGCTATACATCGTTTATACTTGTACTTATAGCACACAACCCCACTCTTTTAACATTAATCTGAGCATGTCACTCTATCAATCAATTCTTTTCGTTCCTGAAACATTGCGCTCATTTTATTGCGTGATATTTCCAGCATGATAAAAACAATATTCTAAATCTTGGGCCTGAAAATTTTCCAGGAATTATGCCTATCTTAGGAGCCTATTTAGGGACCACTTAAGGTTAATTCATTATACATGGGTTTTCTTAATCGTTGATTGACATTTATGTTTGCGCTGAAATCGTGCTTAGATGGCTTCCTAATCCAGGCTTTTCCATTGTATGTTTGCACATTCTAAAATTATTAGTGAAAGACCAGCAGAAATTATAAGTGTGCCAGGAGACTTAGATAGAGGGTGTGCGATGGACAGCTTTTAGCTAATCTAGCCATTAAACTTACCCTATATTCTATTCTAGGATAGTTCACTAAACAGAACTACGTTCATTCACTACCGTTAATCTTTGGTACCACGCGGCGAGAGCTATAGTAGTGAAAAGCTCATGGACATAAATTCAGCAGGTCACTAACCGTAGGATTACTTTTACCATGAATATTGCGCAAGAGGGCCTCATACACTCACGTCTTCGAGCTTACTCAACCTTTTTGGAGGTTTTGAGAGTGACGTCATTGCGAACTGACAGACTTAGACGTGGAGATGATTTCTTGAAAGTAAGATTTTCAGAAATGCGATCTATCGTACTTCTGTTGTTTTCTGATATCCCATTTGCGTGGGTTGTGGTCGCCAACACTCAAACCTTCTTATCCCTAGACTAATCACCATCCGCTTTCATAATATCTGGAAGGACTTCATGTAAGAAGCATATTATGTGCTTATTGATTTGTTCATGTTGTATGAGGAAAGCGTCGTGACCGTCAATGCCTGTGATGATTTCAAGCCGGCCATGAGGGGCTCCTGATGCTATTTCGTATTGCTCGGCGACAGTGAAGAGACCGTCTGATTCAATACCAAGAACAAGAACTGGTTGTTGAATTAAAGCAAGAGCTTCCCTTATTGAAGATGACCGTGAGCGGGAAAGATCGTGGGAATCCATTTTCCGCGTCAAGGCAATATAGCAATTGGCATCAAAACGTTTTGTAAATTTAACTCCTTGATAGCGGAGGTAAGATTGAGCTGAAAAGCAAGTTGGTCTGTTCTTTTCACCAGAATATGAGAATTCTGGTGTAGAGTTAGGCGCAAGGTTTTTTGGAAATTGCACATTTATACCACATTCAACTTGACTATTGAAACTTGGCTGACAGAGAGAGTCGTAGCTGTACGAGCTGTTTCCATCATTATGAAGTGAGCCATGGATTTCTTCGGATAAGTGGACCATAGACTGTCCCACAGGTAGTTGGTTTTTGTCTCGCTCTAAAGTTTTACGCCCGAACCGAGCTTCAAATGAGTCTCGACTTCGGTAAGTTAGAAGTGCAGACATCCTAGCTGCGCAGAGACCATTGACAGGAGGCTCTGAGGATGAGTAGAAGCCATTGTTATATTTCGAATCTGCAAAAATGCTTTGCCGTTGAGATTCTCCCCAACCAATTCCCCAGGCGCTGTGACAACTTGAAGTAGCTATTGGTATTATAGATCGGACGTACTCTTTTCCAAAGAAAGCCCATTCCAAAGAGAGCATGCCCCCCATTGATCCCCCGATTACAACTGCAACTTGTTTGATTTCCAAATCATCTAGTACCATCTTGTGTAGACTGAACGAAGCCGATTAGTCTAGTTTTCTATTACTCGGGATTACTGACATACTTCACATCGTCACGTATTGTTGTCAAAGGAAAATGAGGGCCGTAAACTTCGTTTTGAGATAGACCATCCTTGCATGTGACTGGACTAGCTGTTCCATAGGGACTTCCAAGACTGTTCATGCAGATGATAAAAAACCGAGAGATATCGAGGGCACGACCAGAGCTACCTATTAGCGGGCCCCACCAGCCCCCAATATCGGCGTTACCTGTAAGTGCATGACAGATTATCATAACATTATTTCTCTCTGTAGAGAGTTTTCCTCTTGTAGTATAGGCGACAGGGGCATTTTTGAGAGTGACGCCTGACTCTAGGGTGAAAGAAGGAATAATCGCAATAAACTGTTCGGGTACTAGAGCGGAGAGAGGATTTTCACTCTGTAGGTTTATTCTTTCTATGTTCAGCTTTAGTAATTAACTTGAATTTAAATAAATTAAACGAACCGAATTTATTTGAGTAGCCGTTCAACACCCCATTTGGCGCCGAAGGTTCCACAGGGGTGGCTTTGAGATCGTGTGACATAGTGTAAAGTTGAAGATGAGCTGAATAATAATTAGTAGGAAGATTGAGGGTAAATTCTGACTTATGGATCCAGTTAGTGAAGCAATTATATTAGAATTAAAGTTGTCTAGGGACATGCAATTTAAAATAAGTTTTGTTATCTACAGCCCGCGATGTAGGACAAGTAGACTAGATGATGCAGACGATTGATACGATCTCGAAAGAGTTGAGATCTTGATATCTGGCAGAGATTTCAAGTTGAAGAATGTAGTGCGCGCCAAGATTTCGATTGCGAGAATGCAGGCGACGCTGTAAGCAAATGCAAACGATGGGTAGACTAACATTGAATAATATTCGCGGTCCCACCTACGAACCTAGGAGTGAAATATTTTCCCAGAGCCAATTGTAGTCAAATTTAGCAATTCCGAAGTTGGCTTACGAGGCAATGATCCGAGACTGTCTACGAAATAAAGCTCTCCAACCCAATATGGACGATCCCCACCAAAATCTTATTGAGTCTACAGGCACGACTTAGTGCATCCTCAGTTCAATGACCACACCCCTCGTCGACTTTCTCTGGCCTCAGCTCTTCACCAAATACAGGCCCACGCCAATATTTATACTCGCCGCAGGAAACAAGGCGTCGCGCACAAATTTGGGAGTGAGTTATTTTGAATAGGCGTAAGAAGGATAAGGACAAGTTCACAAGATGATGAAGAGGATGGATACTATTTTGACGGGCGTAAAATTTTGAAATATTGGCGAGAAATTTTACAAATTGAGCTTTGCGTGCGCCAAGGCTTCGATTGCGAGAGTGCAGCTGACATTATTTGTTCAAGCCAACGATGGAAGGTGTCGTGGTCCGCCTCCTAGTGGTAATCTCCGGTACAGTTTGAATAGCATAAGCACCTACTCCACTTGGGAAGGAGACGCTTCAAACCACATTTCGCGCGGAGAAAAGTCAATAGATAACGGAGACATGTCTAGATGACTCAGTTTTTTTGAGGTTTTTCCCTATGAGTATTCACGTATGAGGGTTGACTTGGGGTTAACAAAAAGCTGCCATAACTCTGGAGTGGTACTTGCAAAAAAAATACGAAGCATGACCGCTCTTCTTATTAGAAGTTAGAATAATTGGGGCTATCAAGTAGGCCACATTATTTTTACACATGTGACTGCAAATTCTGTAATTAGTTTCATTTAGGTAGTTACCTGTATAAATGCGCTCTACAACCTCATTGAATGCGTGGTCATTATTTCCTCATTACCTCTTCTACATTGATTCATATAGTATGTAGTTTTTCTCTGATTTTGTGACAAAACTAGATAGCTGCGTACGCAATTGAAATCTGATGCAATAAAAAGGCTTGCATTGTCTGACTCAGTGCTGGTGCAGCCAGCACCAACCTCACAGGTCTACCCTGTGACAAAAAGAGAGACAAAAGATCGAGCGATTATAGCTAGATCGTACTGGAATTGAATCAGAGTTCTAATCTATCATGTAGGGCTGTTGTCCAGGTGCTAGACGAAATACGAGCCTGTACGCTGTATCTTCGCACCGTATGACCAACAAATACGTCCATTCAATAGTACCCTCGATCACCAGGGCGAGGGAGAAATTTTCCGTTCTGTTGCCTTCAATTGTTACCTAAAGCGATATATGGTTGTTGCCGCCACATTCTTCCACTTAGAATGATGTAATAAAAATTGTTAACTTTACTTCAGTGCTATGCTGTCTATCAACATGAGTTAAATTTTGGACTAGTTTACCATATACACAAGCGGTTTAACACCAGCTCGACCCTGCTAGCTCTCAATATTTCATGCTGATTCTCAACACATTCCTTCACCAAGAAAGTTGCTGGTGGCTGGTTTTTCCACTCAAAAGACCCCATTCACGTTAAGACTCGATAATTTTTTATTTGTGATAATCATTTCCCACATGTGAAGCATTGTCACGAATTCCTAATGTGACACCTTAGAAATCGGTCTGGTTGAAATGTATGCAACCATCTCTTTACTCGGATTTAGTCCAGATAGATTTTAGATTGATAAAGCCATAAGCTCTATGATCTCAGATTGAATGGTGCGTTATATCAATACTTCTCGTTCATTAATACAGCTCTAGAGAATTCAATATTTTTGATTCCTCGTTGAAGAGTGCATCATCTAGTAGCAATTTTTTGATTTTCTAAATCGTACGACGAGACCTGATTGGCGATGTAGACCCTTCAGTATAAAATTTGCGACCACTAAAGATATTCGACGTGCAATAGAGCAAGTATCAAGTATCAAGTAGAAGTACTCTCAGTATTTTGCCAGAACTTAGTCTGTAATTGAAAGCGACAGTGCCTTGCCGATCGATTTCGTGAGCCCATTTCCAATTCCAATCTCAGGTAAGGAATCTCGCGGTAGGAGCGAGCCAAAGAGCCCTGTATCTCTTCCAATATGACGATTTGCCACAGTACCCACAAGCCAAAAAAATCGACTGATAAAATATATACTAGTAAAACAAATGAGTTTATTTTTGAGGAGATTGTAGGGATACTAGCTATGCCGGCAAACTTTAATAGCCTGTCTTGTCATTAAATCTACATCTATCGTAATCCCTTTTGTTCTTGCCGCTTTGCATTGATTTTTTCGTATTGAAGTCCACTCATGTCCTCGTGTTCTTCTTTTCCCACGACAACCTAGCGTCTTTATCTTTTTAGTCTACGACACAGTGTATAGATGTATGACGGGCTTCATGGATACCATGGTATCTTTAATGTGAGGATTACCTCTATCTTTTCTGTTATTGCGAGATATTCCGTTACATTTTCCTTTGCCAGTATCTGATCTAACCATCGCCAAATCTGGATTAAGCCTGTCTTGGTTTTCTTTAACCTCGTTGACCAAATAATAATGAGTTGAGATAAATTATTTTCCAAATTTGTTCGTATTTTTGGTCACTGTCTCTCTGTTGGAATTTATGATGTCAGTTAAACCATACTAAGGCTTTAGCCATCAGCAGGTATGTGTCCTGGCAACCTGAATCAGGTGTCGGATGGTTTTGACACTACACCCGCTCTTAACGCAGTGGCTACCATAATAACACGTATCTCGATCCACACAAGTAATCAAGATCAATGGAATCTAGCTGAATACAATATGAATTAAAAAGAGAGTCTATGACTATGGAGGACTTCTAGAATCTACGTGAAAGAAACTAACTATATTTGATTTTTTAACCATTATAATTTTGCATATTTTTCTCGTATTCGGTGAGGAACAAGTCCTAAAAATGGAATTGTAGCAACATGTCATTTCCAACTTAGTATCAAGTGAGGAACTCAATTAGAATGAGATCTACCAGCCGAGTAATAATAGAACAGGGAACTCAATTTGATTTGATTACATTTAGCCCGTTCAGGTATATCTAGGTATGAAATTTACACAAAACAAACAAACAACTCGGTTAAACCCCCCCCAAAACCGTCTGTCTCATGTCTATTGGTTTTCTAAGGTTTCCTACAGGAATTGCATTTACACTGTTTATACAGTATGAATTCAGTCTTATCCTTGCCCACATCTTCTGTTGTTATCTCTACTTCTCCTGCAAGCCAGAATTGTTCAACCTATCTTTTGCCAGGATCCATTTTGTAATTCTCCCCATATTATCTGGGCTGCTCATAATTACCGTAAAGGACCTATCGTTTGCCTTTCGAAGCATCTCTCCCCTTCCCATTGCCCACTGAGTACACACCGAGAACATTTGTTTGACATTATGAGACGAATATACACACTGAAATTTTGGATTAATCACTCCGAGGACCTTCCTTCGATACAGATAAGAATTGAGACCTATTACGGGGCGAGAGAGTATCAAGATAGAAGTCACGGGACAAGTTATAAACAAGATACGTAGGATGAAACGTAGATAAGATGGAATGCGGACAAGATATGAAAATCTAACAAGACCTTTCTTGCCCCCTACAAAGGTGAACGAGGACTACTTAAGGGTCTCCTCGGACTAGCTCGACGCTAGTGTCAATAATAATACCAGTCCTCCGAGACCTGACAAATGTGTTACTATGACAACTAGACCCCCCACCGCTGCTTAGGCATGCTTACACCCTTTTATGGAGAGTCATGATATGAACCATGAAAAGACCAATGTGCTCACTTCTTTCTGAACTGCAATACTGCTTTGGGCCCTGACAAGCTTCCGGTGGATATTTGAGGGTGTGTTTCTACGGGTAATCCTTTTTCTGCCTGTTGTCTTATTGTTGCAAATATCGCGCAATGAAATGGGTGCAATTTTTATAGAACGAAAGCAGAAGTTGACTAAAAGAGTGTTATATTCGGATTACAGCTAAAAGTGTGGAAAGTGTGCGCTACAGGTACAAGTGTAAGCGACACAAAGCCTAAGCCACACCATAAACGAGTGTGGCGCCATCTAGGCATACAAAACCCCCAATAACCTCCTTACGCCCACGCCATACAGCCGCTCATATATCCAATAGGTAGCCTGAAGTGCTACCATATTACCCATTCCAACTTCTTTAATACACACAGGATCGTGTAGGAAACCTAGACGAAATGGAGGGCCAGTACGTCCACAACACCCTGTGTCTCCATTTCCAAAACTTATCTGTAACAATATTTACGGCTTTCCAATGTTCAGGGTCTGCCGAAGCTCGACGACCAGATAGTTTCTCGTTCACTGGACGTATCCATGAGTTTTTTCACTCCTGGAACGCAGTGTAACGGTTTGACCGTTGGTTGAGCTTAGGTGGATACCTAAGCTTGATACTAGGAATCCTTACGATGAGGCTGTATGGGGGTGGAGATGAAGCTGAACGAAACGGCACTACTACTCAGGAGGCTGAAGCGTCATTACAACTTAGTGACACCTGGAAATACGTGGCTGGGTAAGAAGTATTGTGCCTAAGGACAAGTCACTAGTCTGTAGATTCACGAGGAGGATAAACTCTTATAAATACCTGTTAGAAGTAGCTAGAGTTAGCTTTTCTCCTCAT